CAAAGTGTTAAAGAGCAAAGATGTCACTTTGAAGAGTAAAGTGCACCTGCCCCAAGCCATGTTATTTTCAATAGCCCCATATGCAGGGACAATAAATAAAGAAGACTGCAGAAGAATTGATGCACTTGAGTTGTGGTGTTGGCAAGGAATATTGAATATACTATGGACTGCTAGAAGAATGAACAAATCTGTCTTGGAGGAAGTACAGCCAGAATGCTCCTTAGAAGCGAGAATGGCCGGATTTTGTCTCTTGTACTTAAGTCACGTTGTCAGAAGGGACCAATCCCTAAAAAAAGGATATCATGCTTGATAAAGTAGAGGGTCAACAAAAAAGGGAAAGACCCTCAACGAGGTGGATTGATGCAGTGACTGTGACGATGGGCTCAAGCTTGGCAATGATCATGAGGTTGGTGCAGGACCAGGCAGCATTTCGTTTCGTCTGTTGTACAGGGGATCAGTATGAGTCAGAGCTGACTTGACGGCACCTAACAACAAAAACAACATGTAGGACTACTGTCAACACAGTTTATGAGTCAGTAATTCCACCAGCTTTGAATTTATATAATACTTGAGGAATCTTTAATTCATGTCTTTTCAAATTTCACAGATGATATTTTCACTATTGTACTGTGGCACTTCAAAATGACATAATTCCAACTTACCAAATCTGTGACCACACTATTATATATTTTGGAATCTTGAACCTAGAATGGGCAAGCAAAGAGCACTATTTCACTTAAGCCTTTTGAGGTGAATTTCCGGTTTTGGTTTTCTGAGATGCAAATATAGCAGTTCCTTCTCTCAATTCTATTTTTCGTTCTCTTAACTGATGTAAAAAATAGTTCAGCTCATAAGTCCAGATATTGATCCTCCTTCTGTTGATCATATGGCTATTGTAAGGGAAAAGAACTGTTATTTGGATATTTCAACTGCATCATCTTTGCAACCTCTCAGATCAAAGATGCATCCCTCTCCCATCCCCCCATCCCCCACCCCAGCTCAGCCACGTGCTGTAGTCCTTTCTGTCTCATTTAGAAAACCACGATTCTGGACTGTTTGGTGCTGGGTGACTGAGAGGATTACACAGGGTAATATGCACAAAGTAATGAGGCTTTTAAAGTAGAAGCCGTTATTATCGAGAGTTTTATGTTAATAGTTGGTAGCAGGTGTTAGTTTTCGAGCAGCCGTGTTTCATGATAAAAGTGCTGTTCTAGGCAGATAGACTCAGCCAGTGTGTGCAGAACAGATTAAAAAAAAAAAAAAAAAAAACCCAAACCCATGGAGTCTGACTCATAGTGACCCTCGAGGACAGAGCAGGACTGCACCACAGGTTTCCAAAGGTGTTACCTTTTTTGGAAGCAGACTGCCACTTCCCTCTCCCATGGAGTGTATTTGAACTGCCAGTCTTTTGGTTAGCAGCCTAATGCTTTAACCTGCCATACCACCAGAGCACATTCCTGGCAGATTAGGAGGGGAGAAAAAGCCTTGAAGTGTTTGGGGACTAATGTGAAATTCTGGGAGTGGAGGGCTGTGAGCACCTAGGCCAAGGTGATGGCAGTGAGACCAGAAAGGTTGGGGCAAGTCCACGAGAGATTCTGAGGCAGTGCTGGCCAACAAAAAAGAAGCATCCACTGCCAATGGGGCGCCATATGTAATTTTAACTTCTCTAGAAGCCACACTGAGAAAGGTATAAAGCAGGCCATTTCATTTTAATAATATATGTTATTTGACTCACTATATAAAAAATATTGCTATTTCAACAGGCACTCCATATAAAATCAGGATATAACAATCAACTAACAAATATAAAATAGGTGGGTGGGGAAGGGAGGGTGAACCACTAACTA